GGGTGTCGTGATTGCGGTCTTTGGGATATCTTCCTCAGCGACCGGGATTTGGTGATACGCCCTGACGAGATCTATCTTGGAAAAAATAGTTTTACGGGCTAACATGTGGGAAAAGTCATGAATGTGGGGAATGGGGTACCGGTCAGTAATTGTGGACCTGTTTAGGGCTCGATAATCACCGCACGTTCTCCAATCGTCAGATGACTTCTTTGGCATCATATGCACTTGTGAGGCCCATGGGCTAGATGAAGGGCGTATAATGCCCAGATCCATCATATGTTCAAATTCGTTCTTTGCTATTCGGAGCTTCTCAGGGTGGAGTCTACGCGGACGAGCGTGCACTGGTTGCCATGCCGTGACAATGTGGTGTTTCACTCCGTGTTGAACGGTTTCGGTAAAATGACATGGTTTAGTGATGGACGGGTAGTCCTTCAAAATGTCATTGAAAGGGGTGCTGGAGATGGTGAGATGAATGCCAACCGAACTTCAGAGCTAATGGTACCTATGGTAAAGAGTTGGGTGATTGTGTCTGTGAGGCGACGGTCTCTGACATCGACTGTTAAGCCGAAAGATGACAAAAGTCAGCCCCGATAATGGGCGATTTGACGTCAGCCTCAATAAAGACCCATTGAAAACGTCGCCAGAGACCAAGATCTAAAGTGAGGGACCGTTGGCCGTAGGTGCTGATTGTGCTGCTATTTGCAGCCTGTAATGAGAATTGCGAAGGCTTGAGGAGGTGACGCCTTAGAGGCGGGATGACACTGACCTCGGCATCGGTATCAACCAGGAAACGGAGGACGCTCGGCTTGTCGTTGATATGGAAAAGGCGACTGGGTCGCTTCGGGCCAGCAGCAGTCGTCGCCATTACTGGCTGGCGTGTTCGTTTAACTGTGGAGGACAAGCGAACAAACAAGGAGGTATGCACTTTCGGGCTTTCGGGCCATAGGTGCGATGATACCAACATAATGGTTGTGAACGCCGCTCACGGGATTTAGACCGACGATGTGAGTATGGCTGTTTTCTAGCCGATTGAAGACTATTAGGAGCAGAGCACATGTTGCTCACCTGAGTGCAAAGGAGGCGCACAGTGTCTCTTAGGTCGTCGTAATCGGTGCGATAAGCGTCGGTGGGTGTTCTGGGAGGACCGGCTGATGTGGGCGCTCGTCGGGTTGTGCAACAGCATGGTACTTTTTCCGTATAGGGAGTGTCGTGCTCTGACAATGCTGGGCCTTCTGAATCAAAGTCAATGCCCTGAGGAAGCTAGCCTTTGGAAGGCGGGGGCTGTTGAATATTGGAACACGAGGCACCAATGGGGTAACACTCTTTGATTCTGTCAACGTGAGTAGCTAGCTTCTCTAAAGGTGTATTCGAGTCCAACATAGCCAAAACATGTTGCATAGGCACCAGTAACTTTTCTAACCAAATCTCGCAAAAAATGGCGTCGTCCATGTGCCTACAAGCGAGAAGTGAGCGCATGTGACGCATGAGCTGGGAAGGTGTCTGATCACCTTGCTCTACTTGCGTGAAAAGTTCCCGCAGCATAAGGTTGGCCGATTTAGCTACCCGTTGGATTACCGCTTCCTTCAGCAACGTATAAGGTTTGTCGGCTGGAATGGGGTCAAGGAGGTCTTCGACGGTGACAGCTACATCAAATGGGAGGGACTGCAAAACGTACGAATAGCGAATACGCTAGCTAGAAATGCGGCTTGTCGCAAAAGAGCCTCAATCTGCCTGAACTAAACGCGAGGATTGCTCGAGGTAAACGGTGGCAGTTTAAAAGAAAGGGTGTTAATGTCGAGTAAGTCTTTTTGAGAGTCATCACTGGCCATGGTAAATATAAGAAGGTTTAGAATGCAGGAAAAGACGAGGTCACCAATTTTGTAGTGGAAACGTGGACTGAACAACTACAAACAGTAATATATACAGAAAAAACTAACTCCAAATGGGGGAATTGTGTTTACCAACAAAAAAGAGGATGTACAGATTCGAAGAATCAGAAAAGGAATGTTCCAGACTCACGCAAAGTAGAATCCTCTCAAGTAGCGAAATGGTGTTCTGATGAGGAACCGGTTGAATAGAGGCAGTCGGTTCCGCAATGATACGGTGAAGTAGGCTTGTAAGGAGGGAGTCTACGTCAGCCCATACGAATTGCTAAGAATGTTGAGAGGTTACAAGCGAAGGCCAAGAAATAACGACATCAAGCAGACTCGAAACCAGAACACACGTTGACCGCCGCAGAGTTGTTAACGTGTATTTCCGTTTAGTCAAACAAATGTACAGGAAAGTCAGGTGTACAAGAAAGTGTAGTAAAACAAATCGAAAATGTACAACAGCCTACATCTTCCACACGAGATTTTGAACAGTCGTATACAAAAACCTCAATTTAGCCTGAGCAACAAACTGTGTGCTTGATCGAACAGATGGCTTTTGAAGTTCAACGGGTCCAAATGCGTGGTTTTGCACCTGAACACCGGCCGCAATGCCTCTCCCAAACACCAGTACTATATTGACGGGACGAGGCTAGAAACTGTGGAAAGACACAGAGATCTGGGTGTATGGACGACCACAAATCTATCGCCATCAGAACACTGCAGAAAGATGGCCCAGAAGGCAACTAGTACTCTACACTGGATCAGACGCGCATTTAAAATATTTCCTCCCGAACTCTTCGAAAGACTCTTTGGTGTCTTTGTAAGACCTCAACTAGAGTATGGAATGCCAGCAGCCTCACCATGGATGAGGAAGGATATCAAATTACTCGAACAGGTGCAACGCAGAGCGACAAAGATGGTCGACGGTCTGAAACAATTGTCTTATCAGGAGAGGCTGACTTTCCTTGGCCTATTCCCTCTCTCTTATAGACAAATAAACTGCAGTCTACTCTGGACCTTCCGGATTGTTCGCGGCCAGGGTTGCTCATTAAGAGCAGAGGACTTCTTTGAGTTCGCCCGTACAACCCAACTATGCGGCCATGCATACAAAGTCGGGAATGAGCGCACGCGTTTAGACCGACGAAAATTTTCATTCAGCCAGCGGGTTGTCAGGCCGTGGAACTCGCTTCCAAGCGAGATGGTGACGGCCGATACAGTTTGCGTGTTTAAAAGAAAACTTGCGCGTCTAGTTTTCGACAGAAATCGGCTTGTACAGCATGACCATGCACAGCCAGTTTTGTAAAATCTGTCATATACAAACTTCCGCACTAATTTACAGAGACCCCATGCACTACCTTATGATTATGATTGAACTGTGACCCAATCACATTTTAAATACCTGCAATTTAATTTTATTTTTGAGTATGAATCTGCGAAAGCACTGTACATAAATAGGGTCATCAAGGGCTCTGCCTGTAACCCTTCAATATACATACATACAACTCCTGTATAGAGGTGTTTGTCCATTTAATGGGATTGAATGCAAAACCGGCCGGAGCTGATCGAGAGAAACTGCCTTAAACCGCTCCTAAGCTGTTAGAGGTAAGGTTTTCTCCAGAGGATTGGCCTCTAGACACATTAAATTTTGCCGTTCGGTATTCTGAGCTTTTTTTCGCCCAGGTTTGACCTTCTGAGGACTTCCAATTTGAGGAGCCTCCGTTACTCTCCCTCCGCGGAGAAAAGTCCGGCTGAAAAAGACTGACGGATGGACATTTTTGAGCCCAGATTTCCTGCTCAAGAGTAGCTGCGCCTGTTCCTTATTCTGGAAGACAATTTTTAGCGGTCTCGGTCAGTCTGGTTCAAGTTTTTAGCCTTTTATTTGGCTCATCCTGAGAGCCTTTAATACAGTGACTTTCTCGTTTACTCTTAAGAGCGCTTTGTGATATTCCTGGAATAATTCTGTGCCATCCTGTATTTTGTCCTCTGGTGTGTCGGAAACAGACTCAGGCATGCCATTTATGACAATGCAGTTACTGCGATCAATTTGGGAGCCTTGGGGTTTAATCATGCTTGCAGAAACTTCATCACGGATACATCCATTCTGTGATTTAGAAAGGTGTGATCCGACAGGACTAACGCATGACTGCCCGCTCACTAAGGCCGTTTAATCATTTACATTTTCGGCTGCATGATTTTCGCCTGCGGTGTAGCCAACTATTGTTCCCTTATCTGACTCTGTGCCTTTTCGAGGTGTTCTGAGCCATCTTTTTCCTCACTGAGATCCCGTCTAGCTATCCTTTTCTATTACCACGCACTGGTTGTCATCATATCAAGTTGTAGAGACCTACTGTTTCCTTTCTCCTCTGTCAACACAACTAAGGAAACCTAGTTTAACTACGTTCGTTCTAATAGAATTCGCTTTTTCGAGATGTAGCCTTGGTTGTCGTTTACACGGAACGTTGATATGGACTTTTGTGGAGCACAATCCACAGAGTCCGCCAGTCTTTAAGTGCACCCAGGTCCTCAACTAATTCGTGTGTTTTGCTCGAACACTCACAATCAGTCGGATTCTTGGCTGTATAAGAAAACGTTGACGTTAAGGTTGCTGTCAAAAGGTTGTGCTCGAGTGCAACGAAAGGAAAATTGGCCCATATAAACTCATAGAAGCAGGATGCAGAGAGCGCGAACGGCTCAAAATGTTGCTAGAATAGCTTGGCTGCTGAAAATCAGCAAGCGGTTAGACAGACTGCTCCCCTGAAATATTTCCTTACGACCCGACCAAACTGCTCTCACCCCCCTTCCCGAGAACACACCAGCCCTAAATAACTAGAGCCGAAAGTAGCCCCGAATACGGGCTTGGTCAATATGCATGTCGTTTGTGCAGTAGGACGCCGATCTATTCAGGGCAGCTGAATAGACCATACCTTCTGTTTCATGAACAAAAATTGTAGTCTACTGGCAAAGGGTAGTTAGAAGACTAGTAAATCCTTATATGTAAATAATAAGACTGGAACACAGATTATCGATAAGGAAAAATGCACTTTTGCTGGATTTCTCGCGTTAGGTGTCATTTGTTAGTGCACATCGCATTGTGCATATTAGTTAGTAGCGCAATTTATTTAATTCAAGATGGCGTCCGCAGGTCCCGTCTTGAAATGGAAGAAAGTAACTACGGCGTCTGGAAATGTGCCTCGTTCTCGGCACGGTCATAAAGCTGTTGCTCTCAAAGACCTCATCGTAATTTTTGGTGGGGGTAATGAAGGAATTGTTGATGAACTTCACGTGTTTAATACAAGTAATGCCAATTTTCCTTATGACATTTTCGACTTCAGCCCTCTGCCAATGGTTCCTTCCTGCTGTTAGAGGCGACATACCACCGGGTTGTGCTGCCTTCGGAATGATTTCCGAAAACACCCGTGTTCTTATGTTCGGGGGGATGTTGGAGTATGGAAAATACTCGAACGAATTGTATGAACTCCAAGCTTCTAAATGGGAGTGGAAACGTCTCAAACCCAAGCCACCGCGTAACGGGCCTTCGCCTTGCGCAAGGATAGGTGAATACCCTTTGCCATTTTTAAAGCCGTGGTTTTATTAGCTGTCTAATTAGGAGTTGCCTATTATAATAAGTAAATAATTAGCTGAATAATTATCAAGTGTTTGTTTTATGTTTTATTTGTGCTCCAGGCAAACTTCTTTACCTACGGATGTCTGGCGTGCTGCAGGGCTCCTTGCTAGTACCTTCTTTTTTCTTTTAGGACACAGCTTCACACTGGTTGGTCAAAGAGCATTTCTTTTTGGAGGGATAACTAATGACAGTGAAGACCCAAAAAACAATATCCCACGGTACGAAGCGACACATTTTTGTTGCTTTATAACGTGTGATCGTTTACGGTATTGTTTTGAGGAACGGAACACATTGCGTGCTGCTCCGTTTATCTTCGTGCCCTTTTTGTGCGTTCTCATTTGCAACCCAGTCCTTTCTCCCAAATTACTCAGGTACCTCAATGACTTGTACACACTGGAACTGCGGCCAAATTCCTCAGCCATGTGCTGGGATATTCCCATTACTTACGGTCAGCCACCTTCCCCACGAGAGTCGCATACTGCTGTTGCATATCAAGTCATGGATGGATTAATCAAAAAATGGCGACTGCTTGTGTACGGTGGCATGACGGGTTGCCGGCTAGGCGACTTATGGCAGCTTGAAATCGACACCATGACGTGGATAAAGCCGACAATCTCAGGAGACCCTCCAGCCCCCCGAAGCCTGCATAGTGCGACTGTAATTGGAAACAGGTAAGCACTTAAAACCCTGTAAGGTCAGGTCTTGAACTAGATGGATTTTGCTTCATCACACGAAAAGTAACACCGTCGTCAGAAATGAGGAGGGGTTTAGACTAGTTAGACTTGACGTAGTGCACGGCTTTGAGCTGTCGGTGCATTGCGGAAAAGTCAAATGACCGGGGATAAGAAAACAGTAATGAAATTTCACCCCTGCGGTCTTTACGGTGACAACGTCAGCCACCACCTTATACCTCGTCCCGTCTTACATTCATAGCGCAAGAAGATCATCCTATTGCCTTGTTTTCATGCTTTGCGACGTGTTAGGCAGTGATTGAGGTACAAAGCTATTTCGGCCTCATACCCAGCACCATCCTCGACTGTAGCGTTAACGGCATGAGACTTTCTTTTTACAGATTCACGGGAATATGATTTAGCTGTCTTAGTCCCTCTCAGACTGTGATTGAGCCCCAATCTACGGCCACGGGATAGTACTCGTTGGATGGCGGTCAATAGACGAGTTCTGTCTTTATATGTTTACGGCTATCTCGACAGGCACGACACCATTGTCAGGCATCCTTCCAGCACCATTCATGCTCTCATCGAAAAATTTCCGAACTGGTAAAGATGCGCGGCAAGTGTGGTAATTACGTCCCGTTAGACCTACAAAACTGGACAGCCGTACTCCCAGCCAACTAGTTTGAGATCACGTCCTTTATAGAATGCATTCAACCCGTTCTTCGATATTTGTTCCGTTTACTCTCACTTCGTTGTTTAGCTGTCATAGCTGACCTGGTTAGTCAGAATACTGGGCATAACAAGAGGCCTGGCACATTCGACCAACTTCCGTTTTCATATGCAAAACAGCACGCAACGTCCATCCTGGTGGGCGTTGCTCAGTCGACCTAGTTACACTTGTGCACTAATTTCTGTTAAACAACAGCTTTAAATTTATGCTAAAGCAGTGGGCTAATTGGATGGGTGGCAAACTTCGATGCTGAGTTTGAAGACCTCAGTCCTCTTCGTGACGGTGCGAGGTTATCGTTGGCGGTACTGGCGACACAGTGATCACCGCCTAGGCTCCTGGACGTTGTCGGACAGTGTAGACGAGGGACACATCCGTACCGGTTTTATAGGGGCTATACTCGGGTAGTAAGCAGCGACATACTGGAGGTTGGAGAGTCCGACTGTCGGGACATAGTTTACTTGACCCGTCAGCTCGCTAACATGCTAAGAGACCCAGGTTTTTTCTACCACTGCCCTCCGTCGCTAATGGGATTGGCATCCACTCCTCTGCTGATAACTGTTTGGCGTCTGCGTTTAGTCTGTTTTGTAAGCTTTGGAGGCCATGCCCTTAAGTATCAGAAAAACTTCATAAGTCATAGTAATAATACACGCTTGAGCCTCGTCTTGACCGTCGAGTAACTATCCCCTACTCTTAATAAGCCGCGTACAGCGTGTGTCATTTCGCGCGATGTTTTTCGGACGGATAGGCAAGGGAAAGTGGTCGGATAAAAAGGACAAATAATATTTATACTAAGTGCTGACTCGTTTTCCAACCTAGAATGTTCGTGTTCGGCGGATGGGTGCCTCTCGTAATGGATGACGTGAAAACAGCCGCATCAGAGAAGGAGTGGAAGTGTACAAACACGCTAGCAAGCCTGAACCTGGATACTATGGCCTGGGAACCTCTTCAGTTGGAAGTGTTTGACGAAAGCCTGGTGCCCCGGGCACGAGCAGGCCACTGTGCCGTCGCAGTCAACTCCAGGCTATATATCTGGTCAGGACGAGATGGATACAGGAAAGCATGGAACAATCAGGTGCGCATTCCTCCAAGCTTTTTTTCGTTTCCTTAAGTCTTGTGATGTGTCACCAGTTTCTAGCCGCAACCACCATATTTCAGGTGTGTTTCAAGGACCTCTGGCTCCTTGAAACAGACCGCCCGCCTGCGCCGAATCGCGTGCAACTTGTACGAGCTGGTACCCAAAGTCTCGAAGTGGCTTGGGGTTCAGTACCGACAGCGGACGCTTACATCTTGCAAATTCAGAAATACGACGTTTCCGCGCCGTCTGCTCCGTCTGTGCCGGCATCTGCACGTCTTGGGTCTCCACTCCTTAACGTCGGCGATTCATCGTCTACTGTAAAACCGACCACTACAAGCGGGACGCTCTTGCAAGGAGCTCAGCAACAAGCAAGTTCCACATGCAAATGCAATTTGTCCTTCAGATTATCTTATCGCGTTTTGATGAAGCACTGAGTGTATGGCTGTCGACCGCGTTGGTACTTTACAAGATCCGACTTTCGAATTTTCGAATTTCCATCCGTCAACCATTGTCTTCTCAGTCAACCAGAATTAGTCTCCTTTGGCGCTGTCGTCCCCGCGTCGGATTAAGTCAGAATGACTTCTTTGGACGCTTTATTTGCAGTTTTCCTCTGCAACCAGTGTTGCATTTTATGTAACTTAGCGAGAAGCTACCCTTTGTATAAGACACGCTGACCTGGTTCCATTGTGGAGTTTGTTGTGGGCCTTCGCAACATAAACAATAACGCTAGCCTAAGCAAATTCAGGGTTTGCTTAGTATGTTGAGCTCACAGGCACTTCCTTCCATCCAGTAGCTACAGTATTTTGCGGTGGCGATTCTGAGGGTTTTGACAGTATTACTACTACCTTTTTTCGCCAGTATCCTTTAAGTCTACATACTTAAACGAATAGACACCGCATTTCCTAAGTTCCGTTCTCCGTGTGTCCTTCAGTAGTCGTGAGTAGCATCTAACAGGAAACCTGGTCTTAAGCCTGGAACCTTGTCCCCTAGCAATTCAAAATACTCCATATCTCGCCATCCTTAAGCCTACAGTTGGTTATAGCTGACTGACAGCACCAGGTGAGCCAGAACTATTCATCCCAATCCCCGTTTTCAGTAATAGCTTTCAAAACTGAGAATCTCGGGATAAAGTTTTGAGTATTCGGTGGACATTACCAAAACGGATTCTTGTTACTCTGGAATTTTGCGCAACCTCGCCTATTTTTGAAGACTGGGAGGCAAAAGCACTTGGTCACTTTGTTCGAAGGTCGTGATTGCCGGTTCTCATGGTTACGTGATTTAGTTGCCACCCTAATCGACTGACCGAGTAAGTATTTGCACCAGCTCATGTTTATTTTGGGCCTTTCACCTGTCACAACTGGATGCTGGACCAAACTTACCCGAAAAATCAGACTGGTGACCAGTTTGCTCCACCAATTTCCTGACCTCGCCGCTTTGAGTAAAACTTACGTAGAGGCAGTTATCTGTCTAAAGATGGCTTACTTACTGGTCCTGCTGTAACTTCAAAGTCGCCCTAACTCTTACCTTCTGCACTTTGGACTCAGTTAATATGTTGCGCTGAAAAGTTTCATGGGAGTACAATCTGGTCTTAGATGCCAGACCTGACCGTCTGTGCGGTCTGCTGCCCAGGCAACTGTTTATTCTGTGAGTTTTGTTTATATTCCCTATTGTACTAGTTAATTTAAAATTGTCACTTTTTCTTGGACGTTTTAGCGATTACTGACAGGCCCAACTTCTATGGCGGGCGTCACATCCCCAATTCCTGTCTCCGTCACAACGTCCCTTCACGCCCTCGCAAATGCCGCGGCTGCTACCACCACACGAACGAACACCGTGACGGCTTCACAGTTCACGCCCAGTGTCACGGCCACGCCTGTCGGTGGTGGGTTAGTAGCTCAACAGCGTGTACCAACCGTAGTAACCCCCACGGGGCTGAAAATAACGCCAGTTCCAGGCAGCGCTGTTACCGGGCGAGCGGCCATAGTTGCTGCTGCGCAGGCACAACAACAGCTTCCGCAGTCGGGAAACTTGTTACGTACCGCAACTGTCGTTTCTGCGGCTAATAAACAAGTAAGCGCTTACAGAACCACAATTTATTCTCAACACTAAATCCGCTCTCACATTTAAAAATCACTGGCCTAAATACATACCAGCCTTTCAGTATTTCATACAAAAATCCATTAAACTGTTGTCCTAGTTCATACCCGTTGGAGGAAAGCAGCTACTGACAACAAATAGTGGAACAACCACACTGACTGTCGGCTCGGTAACTTCGGCTCCGGGTGCCCCCCTTGCCGGCGGTTCTGTTGTACACCTGGTAAAAACGCCCACTGGTCTAATAAGACCAATCAAGTTTGTGTCAACATCCACCGCGTCTTCTGCACAACAACTGAATGTTGGCACAAAAACCATCTCCGTTCAATCTCCGATAGGTACGTCGATGTTCGCGGTTTCCTGTTTTTGTTTCCACAGCTTCTGGACAGTCGGGCGTAGTACAGGTTTTTTGTCAGGAGCTGGATCACATAAGGTCAACTAGCACCAATTCTATGGCTTTTTCACTTACTGACCATTGCACAAGCTAACAATTTGTTTGTCTACCTATAGGCACAAACCCAAAAGTCATAAAGGCATTCCCTGCCAATGTTTTTCAAAAGTCTGCCCCTGGCAAGCCAATTTTCATAACAAGCGGGACTCCTACTCGTCCTCTAACTCCAGTTGTTGAGCAAACTGGCAGCGTCCGTTTTCCGAGTGTCGCTAGTGGACCACGACAGCAGCAGGTTGTCATTGTTGGGTCCGCAGGTATGTCATCCTTTCGACGAAGTGCTTCTGCATCTCACCTGTCCACCTTGCGATGTTTAACGGTTCATTTATTTTTAAGGAGGCGTTATGACAAGTTTAGCCACCACCAGCGCCCCTAGCAACATTATTTGGAGCAACCAGGCCCAAATCGCTTCCCAGGTTACACAGGGAACGGTGGGTCAGGAGGGCTGCAACCAGACTGTAACTCGACTTCCTCAGTTCGATGGGACGGCCGATGAGGACGATCAGCAAGGGGATAAGAAGACTGAGGAGGCCCTTGACGGAAACCGACTTGACGCGGCAGCTGCACAAGGCAACAGCTCTTCCAATGAAGCCTTCGTTCCTGAGGAGTCTGCGGTACTTATTTGTCCATCGGGATTTTCGATTTTGTTTTATTTTCTATTGTAGCCGTAGTCTGTAACAATTTTTTGGTGGTGCCTATTCCAGTCTATTAAAATTAGATCGTCTGTTCCTGTTAAACAAAAGCGCTAGCTCTACAGCGCAGGTACGAACCTTACAAGATTCCCCTGAACTCAGACGGCGTGGACTGTCGTTGCCGTCACAACCTTCCCCCCAAGTCTGGTCACCCTTGTGCCATGTGCGCCCTTTGCGCCATCCAGCATTACCTAGCAAGTGAACTCAGCTATTCCAAGCCACGGTGGTTATGATCGATTACATTCTTTTAATCCGTTTCGCTACGCAAGTCTGTTAGCTCTGAAAGCGCGTCTTGTAGTATCATTTTCGGCCAGTGTATAGGGACTTCTGAGTCACTGAGTTTCCTATTTGCTATTTTCCTTTGGTCTCGTGCACGTCCGCCCCGCCATATATATAATTTTCCGACTGTTAAGTTTTTCTGCCTGTCTTGGTTACGGGCCAAACGCCCCATTTTCTATTCGCCTTAATGCGCTCTCTTGAATCTTAGTAATCTGATAGGTTCAGGTGGATTTTTTCATGTTTACATTCTTAGGTGGGTGCTCTAGTAGAAGGTATGGCCGCTGAGGCCGCCGCCCAGCTTCTAATGGAGGCCGTCGAGGACTCCGCAGTATCTCAGCCAAATGCGAATGACTCAGAGACTTCCATCGGAGAAGGGAAAACTGTTCGCCTTTTAGTGACCGCCTCTGTCGATAATGAATCGGAAGACACTAGCTGTAAGTTACATGAATTTTCCAATATATTTTCTGAATTAAAACGTGGTTTCCCGGCATGGGGTCTAAAATTGTTGGAGGTTATCGAAACATTAATAGCACCTCTCCGACTTTAATCTGCGATACTCAATGGTGGAGGTAAACCTGATTGAAGGGTACAGAGAGCACAGTATTTTCACCAGTTCCTGAGTGACTCAGCTGATTCCAGCGGACATACTCCAAACCCGTTCATATTCTATTCTGAACTTCAGGCGGAGCTGCAAAGCCGACAAATGATCCCCTTGAAACCTTGGCATCTGTCGCTGCTAGACGTGGGGAGGACTTCGAAGGTACTCTGTGGCATAGTTTACCCGTACTCTGAGTATTCCTTGTATTCCACTTTCCACGTTACAATCAGACTTTTAGCGTTTTTATGAAGGTTTACAATATAATTCCCGGGCTTTCCATCGAGGCCTAAACTGCTGATGCTCCCTAGGCCTGTACGGGTTTACCTTATGCATTTTATTTCATGCACTAACTTGATTTGCGCTCTATAGATGAAAGGCAAGAGGCTGCAAATTCGAATACCGAAGGGAAACAGCCAGCAGTCTCAACGTCCGTCCCCTCACAACAGTCTCAGCTGCATCCTCGAACCATTGCAGTTACCGTTGGTAGCCTTACAGTGCAGCCTTCGTCCCAAGCACAGTTAAGCAATGCCACCAATCCCATTTTGATGCCAAACTCCGGCACAATCGGACAAGGATCACAGTTGATTCAGCCCTCCACTGCGCAACCCACTACAAACGTCGTGCTGACCAACCGATCAGACAGTGCCTGGCACGATGTTGGTGTCATAAAGGCGACCAGTTTCACTGTGACAGCATATAGCGCCTACACAAATGATGTAGGCGTTAGTGTTGAGGTAATTCGAAATTCTATCCCTACTACATGCCTTTTGCCTTCTTGTTAACGAGTGTTAGGTAGTCCGCCTGCGCTCGTTACTGCCCTGCCCGTTCTTGGGTTTCAATTTACAAACTTCTAGAGATCTTACTTTCTGCTTGATGTCTTAAGATTATTTCATTCTACTCAAAACACCGGTAAAATGTTTTCGTCTTGACCATCCATTTAGGCTATTGAGGCTCTTCAAGGTCCTAACGGTATTGGCCCGACGGGTATTGCGACCCAAGGCCCGAAAATACCTCTTTCACCCGGCACCGCCTACAAGTTCCGTGTGGCTGGCCTCAACGCCTGCGGTCGCGGTCCATGGTCCGAAATCAGTGCATTTAAAACCTGCCTACCCGGCTTTCCTGGGGCGCCCAGCGCCATAAAGATCACAAAATCGGAGAATGGTGCCCAACTAACGTGGGAACCTCCACAAAACACATCTGGCCGTATAATTGAGTACTCAGTGTACTTGGCAGTCAAAGCACAGCCTGGGAGTGGCAAAGATTTACCCGAGTCAAAGGTGCGTGGTACAGACTTTTTGATTTCGTGTTATTTTGTTGCCCTCCTTCCTGAACATAATTTTAAATATTTCAGATGGGAACGATGCCTTCTGGAATGGCATTTGTTCGCGTTTACGCCGGTCCTGCACCGACAGCTTTGGTAAGCTCTGCTGTGCTTGCAAAAGCCCATCTGGATGTCAGTTCCAAACCTGCTGTCATCTTCCGCATTGCGGCCTGCAACGAAAAGGGTTATGGACCAGCAACACAAGTCCGTTGGCTACAGGAGGCTCACTCTGTCGGAGGGGGTAATGCCGTGTCTCCCTCAGCGGCTATGAAGAAGACATCGCCTGGTGGGACCATGCCGCCCTCAGAGTCGGTCGAGGGGTAGGACCATTTCGACGATCTTAATTTTCTCTACTGGTTTTCCATGCTTGTATAAACTTTGTCGTATTTCTCAGGAAGAACACGCACATCATTTCGCCTCTTATATTCACCTGATTAGAAGCGCACATCTTCAAACAGTTTTCAAAAAACATCAGTTTGCGGCTCTAAAAAGTTAGTTTTTGATGCGTTCGCAATATTCGAAACGACCTTGGTTTAGAGGACTTGAAGCTTAATTTTTTTACGAAAGCTATTTACCTAAGCTAGAAACCACATTGTCTTGTCACCAGTTTTTCAGCGTATACAAATCGATCCGTATCTGCCACAATATCTCATGTTCGCAACCACAGACGTGTTCATGAGAACCCGATGGGTGAATGTGCCCTTGTTCTAGGTAAACGCTATGCAATTTGGGAAACTTAAGGACAGTGAAGCACACTTTTATCCTGAACATATGAGGGGATTACCAAACTGAAATGGATCGCCTACGTAGCAAAAATGGAGGTCTGACTATTTCGTAGATAATAAATGTAAGCAGGCAATTTTTTTACATTTTCTAGTAGGAGTGTTTAAATGCGTAGAAACACAAAACTTATATTAGTTGAGCTGTCATTTTTCTAGATTTAATCAACAGACCTGGCTACGTGCATGCCATGGGAACATTGTCTCGTGCCGATCAGTTTCCCAGTTTTTCTTAGTGGTTTTCATCTGAGCGCATATTTCGAGATTTTGGTCGATGCTCCTTGTGTCTAATTTGAATTCTCGTTTTTGTTTTTATCTTTCAGGTCTTTTTCTTCTCCTGTAAAGCGTTACAAAACAGATGAACATTCATAATTTCGGCATTTGATCTCACCCCGTCCCCTCACCCCTCAGCCACTTTGCTCGGAACAAATTTGTAATTAAGCTCTCCATCACCCGTCTGGTCCGTATCAAGTTTAAAATTCAGTCCATCGGGACATTTTCGCACGAGTCATGCTATTTTTTAATCTCTCGGCCATCCGGGAAGAATGGCCGTAATTGTATTTATTTTTTTGGTAGCGTACTTGTGGACAATATCTTATTCCGGGCCATTATTACGCCTCGTTTTGTAAATAAACCTACTAATATTCATTGCATCGCTTTTATTGCCTTCACCGGCTTAGTGTACACTGTTTAACTTTGCATGGTATTCGTTGTTTTCGATGGTAAATCTTGGCCTTCCAAAAGCGTTATTTGTCTACATTTTACACACTCGTTTGGGAGAGAAATTTCAGTGAAAATGTCACTTTTATCTGACACTTTTATTTCCATGTGCCTCACAAATTAAGGAATCCAGATTAGCTTGGTTGTGGGGGTGTACATCTAAAAGTATTAAGAAATGACTGAGGTATAGAAACACTTTCCTCCAGTCTCCTGTGGAGTGCAGAACTGCGCCCTCGGTTTCGGACAGTGGGGGAACAGACGCCATATTTCTAAAAAGAGACGTCAAATTTACTCCCTTGTGGGTGTGTTGTCCTCCAATTTTTATTGCCCTTTTCCCAGACCCCATGTGCTATTCCAGTCTGGTTTGGGCAAGGGCTGCGCTATTAGATCTACAAAAACAGTCTCGATTTCATCAACTACCACAGGTGCCGAGCAATCCGATTGTCGCACCTGACCCCTATACTTGTTTGGTAGTCTCGGAGGTGGTTGTCACAGGCTGTCTACAGGCGCTCTTGCAAGATAGCAAGTGCGTCTGCAAAAAGTGCAGTGGTTGGTTTTCTTATGTCCCTAATTCTGCCCCGCCATTAACCGAGTCGGGGGATTAGTGTCTTCATAATAACTCCGGAGTCGCCGTTTATTAAATTCATCAAATATCTGATTTCCCGGTCCCCTAGAATTTCTGTTCTGATGGACACCCTTGGTCGCTGGCCTAGTGGCCGTAGGGCTTAGGTATAATTCCCACTTAATAAATGATCCGCACCTTTGGTGGTTGCTGTCTGGTTTTGGCCGCTTGCCCTGCACTATGCGCTGTCTCCACCAAACTTTAAGTTATTGGGAGAGAGAGAATTCATACTCACTGTGCTGTGCTGAGTGCCAGTTTGATCTTCTCCTGCTTGTTGACATTTTTCAAATTGTAGAAGTCGAATGCAGTAGGGAAGAAGTGGTGCACCAGAGCGCATAAAGCAGTCCCGTCCTCCCACGACGTTGAGAAATTAGTGATTTCCACCCCCTAAAAGGAACATGCATTGTTGACTTCCTTTGGCGTACAAACTTGGTGGAGTGCTGGGGGCCGTGCGCCGCCCATATTTCAGTCATCCTGCGGACTAGGAAATTGTCCGTCCCGCTCAAAGGTTGTCTGGTTGGCTTCAGTCGTAAATCTGGTGAGTCGACCCGGTTAAAGAGTGAGGCGCTCAATTTACCTACGAATTCTCACTTGACTGGCGTGATGGTGTGTCGCGCTAATTGCGCTGCGTCGTCCGGTTCAGTTTTCATTGCCGTGTTCAAACCCCTAGGTATGCTGAACCATGCAGCGCATCTTTTCGTGTGTTTCGGGCATCCGAGTTTGCCCATTTAGCGACCAGCTTGCCGCTAAATAGTAGTTCGCAAGTATTTGGTGGTGGCTTCTGAAAAGCATAGGCTGACCCTTGATGTTGGTTGTCTATCAAGAGAACGATGTCCTCTAGGTAGACGTTCATTCTTTGCAACATGCTTGTACACGACTCGGTATTACGTTTGCACTGCCTATAGTGAGTTTTGTGCGCGCAAATAATTTTTAATTGCACCATAGTACTGTCCCTGATCGTTACTTCGGTTTTTCTGTTGTCCTCTGCTACGCAGTCCAACATCCTCGAGATGACAGGAACTCGTAGGCTAAGTGACTTGAGTGCTGCATGGTAAACTTTGTTTTGCAGCATAGATCATCGGAACCCATCATCATCCAATGACCGAGTGAGCCTGCTTGTCGTTTGCTAAACCAAAAGTTGGAGGGCCTCCTTTTAATTACTCCTAGCGTTTTGTTCTCGTTTATGCTCTCGCAGCAAAAGCCAGTAAATGTAAGTTGCCTCCGGCCAGCGTGTTCGGTCGTTGGAACAATAGCTTCATCGGGCTGACGCCTAGAATACATGCTCAAACGAACCATCAGACACAGAGGTAAGGGGACTGCAACGTCGAGCTAGTTAAGAGAATATCAACGACGAGTAACCCTATAAACACTGCATCTTGGACCTCACTACTGTTGATTCTGGCATGCATGATGAGTATGAGCATGGATCTGGGATGCCGAACCAATAAAGCTCTTGTTCTGGCCGTCGGATATACTCGTTCTCAGCAGCTGTTCGGCACTGCTCTTTTCGTGTGTATCGCTACTTTCCACCGTCAAAAATTGGTTACCATTTTTAGAACTCAGAGATAGGGGACAAGGGAAGATTCATGACACTCGTTTGCATTGACTCGTCTGCAATTTTTAGGATTCTTGTGCAACAGATGGTCTGCTTCGTGAAATGTCAATCGAAATTCCGAAATGCGTTTTAGATTAGAAACGGTTGTTTAGATGGGGTCCTCGGATTTATTAGCGCGGAGCATGACCTTAAAATATTTCAGTCACCGGGACGCCGGCCTCTGAATGCGCATCTTTCCGACCGATCGCACGAGTCGCACTTGGTTAAAAAGTGGCTGCCTAAGTAGTATGGTATTCGTTCCCTCTCAAAATCCACCCAAATACCCTTGTGCTCATTTTGCAGTTAATTGCGTCTTTCCCAAACTGTGTGCTTATTGAAAGGGTATCTGTAGGTTTTAAAAATATTTTTCAATTGTCGAATAATATGTTACCCCTACATGCCGCTGCACTTGCTTTTAGGGTTGCCAAAGTACAAGCTGTATACCTACCATGCAAGGAAAATCGTAAACTCCCTTATGCTATTAAAATATAGCGTGTGGTGCTCACGAAACTTTCCAATGGACGCAGACTATGTGTAGTCCATGACGGGCATTTATGAATTGATATATACGTTACTATTTGCATGGGAATCTCACGGCCTTAAGTCCCATAATAGCGAACTTTGTAAAACCGGAAGATACTCTTTTTCTCAGGAGAAAAACCCGGAGACTACATGATTTACTACCAAATGAGTACGAGAAGGGATATTATTCTGCGTACAATAGATGTGCTAAGTCACGAAATGTTAACCGGAGTTCTGAGATGCGTTCTTAACTGAAAAAAAGATTACTTAAGTGCGGTTATAAAATTAATTAGCATGCAGAATAATCTCATGATAATTGATTCACTTCGGGATGCGGGCTTTCGATCTAACTTCTTTCCGGCTGCCAGCAAAGATTGCACTCGGCAAAGCATGGCCCCTTAAGGAGCATGACATTTCTTCATTGATTTTCGATGCCCTTATAAATTAAAAAATCATTTCATGGAAAACGTGCATAACACTATTCTTTTGCTAATCCGGTAGAAAATTACGTCTTCCTCGAATTTTATACTCGAAGGAAGAGTATAATTCGGCCTCCAATTTTGAGATTTTTAAGACCGCGAAATGCTTGTTGATGACACATTCCGTCACTGCATTTACCAATGTTGCTCGTAAAGTTTACGATATGTTCAAATTAATTGCTAGATTTTACGAACCTCTATACGGTGTCCTCTTAATAACGTAGAGAAGTATGCGATTTTCTGTACACTGAAAACATAAAGCTTGTAGTTTGGAAATCCTGAATGCAAGCGTGTCGGCAGTTCTGGTTCGAAGTTGTCTGGGAATCGGAAAACTTTTTTTAGAACCGAACTCTGCTCTTCTATCAGGCATGAACTTTGAAGGCGTAATTTTCTGCCAAATGAGTAAAATAGTGAAAATTTTTATACATGTTTTCAGTGAAATATATTTGTAATTTATAAGGACATCGAAAATCGATTAGAAAATCTCATGCCCAGTGCGTTTCTTGCTGGCAGCCCTGAAGACGTTTGTTCGATGGTCGGCATCACGGAGTAGCTGAATTATCATGAGATTATGCTGCGCGCTTATTAATATTACAACCATACTTATGTAACCTTTTTGAGTCTGAGTAGCATTTTACAATTTCGCTTAATATTTCACGACTTATCGCGTCCACTTTTTATGAAAAATATTTCAATTCGTGTGGACAGGAAAAGGCGATTGGGAAATTTCATNTATTACGCATGGTCTCTTAATAGCCTGCGCAAATACCTGACTTTCCTCTTACAAATGTCCGAATTCCCCAGTCGGCGTTTATGTGCAAGCCGACCCACATGCGCATGCATCTCGTGTTGTATTTCTACCGCAGCTCATGCTGCGTGACCCAGCAGACTTCACCACAAGGTGGGGACGCATACGCTGAGTTGTTCGCGAGGACGAATGTACTCCCATGTGCTGTCAGGGGGGAGGGAGGTGGGGATGATGAGAAAAGTGGCATAGACAACATAACAGTGCATATTAATCACTCGCCAGACATGAGGACGAAGTGGTTATACGCGCACACCTAAAAGCCATTCGAGCACATATTCGCTTGTGTGGCAAGAGAGCTGATAGTCGAGTGGGCTGCCGATGGGCCGAAAATATGTTGAAATTGGGAACTTACCTGATGTATATACTCCTTGGTATTCAATTGGCAAAACTTGAGGATAATGTTTTTTGCCTCAAGGAGTTCAATGCTCTCGTCAGTGTATTTCCTGTTAGAAAAGATTACAAGAGTTAGATCGTTGAACTCGTGTTTAAATTTCAATGTATATTTTGTTGAGCCTTTTCGGACAAATTTATGGTAGACATTTTGAAGTAAACAGATTTTCGTCGTACCGGAAGTATTCATTTATTTTTCTCAGGGCGTCCTGAACTAAAATGGATGTAGGGAAATAAACTTAATTAAGGGTATATTAATAAAGAGACCGGCATAAAAGAACGATGCACCGAGGGTGGGGGTTACTTTCAGAGTAATTAAAATGGTCTTTAATACCACGAAATCTGCCAGCGACGGTTTACAAGACCATTCTATACACTACTTCAATCTGTAGTCTTAGCGAATAAATGGATGGGACAGGGCTAGTATCTGCAGCGTTGTATGGTTGGGCAAATTCCGCGTATGTGGAAGTCGTCCATGGTCCGACATCTCAGATGAGGCGACTACACATATGCTTGACTTGCCCAAACTCTCATCAAGCCTTATTCAGTCTGCTTTTGACAAGTTACTCGCTTATTTCCTTGGGAAAAATTAAATAACGCTTCTTTGTTTCATTCACTTTTGCATCAGCGAGTTTGGTTTGCGGTAATCAACGCTAGGGAGAAAAAGTATGCATTTAAGTAACATATGAACGCAGTACCTAAGTCGCCTTTATCCGCAGTCCGTTTTATTGCCTTTGTGAGCGTGTACGCTTTTGCCCCACCCGACTGCGGCCTCTCGAACGTGACCTGAATCTGTTAATATAATGATGCTTTGGCGATAATACAGCCAAACGCCATTTTGAGGAGAACAATTCATTGGATTTAGGTATATGGACGTTTGATGGCATTCATGTCCACGAGTATCTTAATTGCGATTTCTACATAAAATGAGAGAGCTGTTGAAGGCCTCTTTAATTCCGACAGTCGAACTGAACTGACCTGAGATGTTTTTGGTTATTAATTTAGAATTCAAGCTCTATTTGAGGGCGGTAGTTGGCAGATAGGAATTCCGCAACATCAGTTAACTTGGTAATGTGAAGTCAATTGCATGGTGGATCCATAAATCTGGTTCCCACTCGCAGTATTTTACTTAGTGTGGGATAGCACCGTTTGATTGGGCATTGGCTGCATTTCACGTAACTTAATAACAGTTCGGGTGATAGGAGTCCATGTCTGGTTTACTGTGACAAAGTTCATTTGCCTGAATGGCTTTTGCATACTGCTGGCTTATGATCCAACTGCTCGGCGTCCCTCAGCTGACGAGAGATACAAGGTGATTCGAATTTGACTGACTAACCGGAAGCATTAATGGCACATGGTAACACCGCAGATTCCCGTCCAGTTCATACCCTATTTTAATGAAATTGCTTTACTTCTTGAAGATACGCTGTCACACAGCGCGGATGGTCTGCAGACGGGGTCTAGCAGATGGGTTATAGGCACTTCATCGAACCGAATTACATCAGTGCTTCGCGACCCGTCATATTCCGACGCTGCAGATCGGGGATTTATTCACATAGGAATGGATCCACCCCTATTTATTGACCTCCGGAGGCAAACAAGCTCCATATGGGCGGCAACCAACTACGAGATCCATCTGTTAAGCCCCGTCTGTGAACCATCTGCGCCGTGTACGAGCGTGCTTTCGTGTTTCTGGTCCCAGCTGGTGACCAGGGTTATGGTCGCTGGAATGAAGGCTGAATAAGGCTGAAACAGTATTGTATTACTATACCCACATTGGTAGAGGGGCGCTCACCGTTAGAGGCGTCAGTGGTTAGGGGCGTTGGACTCCTAACTAACAGGTCCTGAGTTCGAGCCCCAGGTGTTCCACACCTCGGGGTTTGGAATGACTGGCTGACGACAGCTACTAAGTCAGAAATGGCCATTCCAGTCTCCCTTGTCTTTGTCGGTAACAACATGCTGCCTTTATCATGCGCCGCTGTGCAGCTGCTGGTTGGGCTCGAGAGAGAGAGAGCCCGTAAGGCACAACGGAACGAGTAAGTTCCATAAGGGCTTCGAAAATAAATGAGAAAAGTGCATACTACTTAAGTAGTGATTTTTTACAGAGTATAACTATTGCATACAGCCGAAAAAAGTTTATTCGAAAGCCGGCATCCTGAGGTGACTGAATTATTATAGAACTATGCTGCAGGATGATTAATTTTACAATCCTACATAATGAATCTTTTCGAAACGAAAACGTGGTTAGGAATTTCGGTTGACATTTCATGAGTTAGCCCACTTACTTCGCCGCTTCGGAAAGGCATAATTATGTTGAAAGGTGTACAACGACGTTCTACAATCTTATGTTCCTGAACTAAAGAATTTGGAGTACGAACAGCTCCTGGCTGCCTTAAATCTCTACTTCCCCCATTATAAACAAGACAGATGTGGCCTTGTAATAACATTTTATTTGTTAAGGAGACTTGATCTTGATAAGGACTGAGAATTTTTTTGAAATGGTACTTCATGATTGCCAACTTGTAAAGGAGCTGTGCCGCACCAATCAACGTCCCCTCTTTTTTTCGCAAAAAGTCATTCAACAGTGGAATTCTTTACCGACATAGGCCGTGCATTCGACCAACGTGAGTGTGTTTAAGAAGCCTCACCTCTTAAAGGTCAACCGGAAATCCCCAAACCCATCTGACAAGTCACTGTTATAACCGTCAACAAGCTACTATCTTGACTTCAATAACACATTTTTTGTAATAACCTTAATACTGCAGAACTTTCTGCGTGCAAATGCAGTCAATATGTCGTTGACTGCTATTTAACAAATTCACCGGCTTTTTGACACTCCTGTTTCGCTATCAGTCCTACATATTTCACATGCTAGAATTACCTGTAAATCTTCGCAACGTAGCTGCTCTTCACATTGACTTTTTTAAAATGGAGTTTCAAGGGCTTCTGTCATTTATTCGAAATACACTAATCTTGATTTGATTTTAATGTTTCTCGACGTAAATATCGAAGGATTAGAAATCCTGATCAATGTTCTAAAAGACCTATTCTCATGGCGTGCGTAGATCTCACATTATTTTTGGAATGCACGATCACCATGTCTGCCCAGCGTACGCACTTTGAAACTAGACAGTCTCACCATTGATACCTGCACAACTAGTGCGTGGCGATTGCCAATTGCCTTTGAAATTTCCCTAATATAAGCATGGACTTGCCTGTGGGTTTTGGGAACCCCTGGGCGTTCCTTCTGGTCATGACATATCCGTCCATTGCATTCTTAGAGTTCGGGTTCAATAATTTGCTTGCTTGGCCTTTGTCATCTAAAGCACCTTGCGAGGTGTGACTTTGGTCTCTAAATCCGCGTTGAAAATTTACTTCAGAGTCTGATTTTGATGTGGAGATGGAGCTTCCAGCAGCTGACTTGGGAAAAAGGAGAGCACCAGAAGAGTGGTCGCTACTCTGCTCATCCCTTTTCTTCTCAGAACTGGTACGTCCAATTGACTTTGTTCGCCAGAGTTGTTTTGGTCTAAGAACTTCATGCTCTCTACCCAACTCCAAGTCCCGGCCTTTTTGTGTTGGCAAAGGGTCCGCATTGGCAGAGACCGGTGGAGCTTCTTTCGGCGCCTGCTGGATGTCTCTTTCCTGGACGTCAGAGGGTCGACCTTAAAGACAGTCATTAATAGAAGCACAAACGTCTCAAATGTAAAACCTGTAAAAACGCCATTGTAGAATATTTGGGTGTTATATTTCCTGACACCTGCCGCCTACCGATTCAGCAAGTCTGCTTAGGCCAGGTCTTGTGTAGAGCCATAATTACGCGTTACCAATTAGTAGACAACAGCTATATTTAAATTCATTCGTCACCGATCAGCCTGACATCATGTGATCTTATGAAATTTCTTATCTGTATGAGGCCCCTATCGATGAAATCAAGCGGAACCCTGTTTGCCTTAGTGGATCGCATGCCAGTTAATGCAGAGGCGAAGAAGATACAACGAATTCTCGGAAACTGTTTTGGAATCTATACTCAGGATGCAGGCTGTTGGCAAACCACGATACCTAACATTGCATTAATTCTTAAATGTCATTTTAATGTAAAATTCACTAAAACACCATTGTTAAATGTCGTCTAATTTGTGCTGTCATATTTTCTTGGTTTTCCATGGACAGACATTCTGTACATCTAAAATCGACATTTACTCAATTACGACCACTTTTGACGCCTTCGGAATTTTCAACTTTTCTGAAAAAGTGGTGCCTCTAAGCAATCTTCAATGCCTTTAAAGTAGTTATCTGTTAACGCAGATATCGGGTTCACGCATTGGTGTCGGTTTGTGAGTGATTAGCAATAATTTATGAATTCTGCCACCTTTAATCAGATAGGTCGATTAATTTCCTTGGTAAGAAGAAGACGCCCTAGTCCTTTTAAGTCACCAAGTATCTTGGGAAAACACTTGTTTTCCGCAGAATAATACCTCATCCGAGTCTTCGAAATTGTGAAGTTGTACATTGCCCAGCAAAGTATAAACTCATTAACTGAAGATCTTCTGACTTTTAACGTTCAAAATTGTGTGATTCTGGACCTGTTAAGTCTTCAGATTTACTTACCGTTTTCTATTTCGTTATTTGTGAAACGCGATAGTGCGGTATGAAATCGTTCGCGGACGGATGGATGACCAACTTTCTCGTCCATCAGAACTTTTGGCGGACCCCCAAATGACGATTCAGCAACCAACGGCAGATTTCCACGATTGCCTACTAGGGGATTTCCCGAGACGTTGTGTTTGGTCGGATATACTGGTGTATTTTCTGGACTCGGCTCTTTTGTTGCTTGTAACGATCGTGCGTCAATATGATGAGCAGTCTTAGATGATCGCTGGCTTTGACTGTTTGTTGTTTCAGCCTGTGGTTTAGCTGTGACCTTGCAGCCTTGCATAGCAGTTAGTGGATTATAGTGATTCCTCGAGTGGTCAACAGGCTGCCAAACCACTGATTCTTCACCACGCTTTTTCGGGGGTGGGAAGACGTTGGGTGTAGAATTGCCGTAACGAGACTCCAGCATCATTCTGACAGCGGTTCGCGCCGCCTCAGCGGCTGCTGGTGTCTGTTTCTCATCAGCCAGCGGCAGTCTGTTAGGGGGACCACGCTCCCACGCCGCGTCGGCCGTCCGACGCGAAGCTTCAGCTGCGGTCCCCCCGCGCCTGAGCCCTTTTACACGCGCCCCCTCGGCCATTCCACCTGCTCCGTTTCTTAACCCCTTTTTGTCTTTATCCTCAGTCCTGCGGGCTTCAGCTGCCTTTGTAGGTTTATTGAGAATATCACCATTGAGCTGATATGCCAGCGGCGGGTGAACAGGCTCCGGAAACGAACAAGAACCAGCTCTCTTCCAATGACTGATAGCGGATTGATTGGGCCGAATCTTCGATATTCGCTGTTCGCCATTTTTGGGAATCTGCACGAATAACACTTGGTCGTTGTTGTTGTTGCTGCAGTTTCGCAGACTTTCCGTCTCCGACCGCCATCTGCATTCGTCGTCCTCTTCACTAACATCATCGCCCGTGGAGTCTGCACTGAATGTGCTAACAGGAAGCGGGTGCAACCCGCCTTTTGAAGACTTTGGAACGCTCTCTGCATGCGACGCAAAAGTTATATGCTGTTTTTGCGGCCGCCGACTTCCACACTGTTTGAGAGTGCCCCTTGAATCGGATACCATATTGTTGAGCCGATGCTGGCTTCTATTAGACTTGTCATTGCTATGGACCTCCGGTCTGCAGCTCAAATTACACTCTGACTTATTTTTGCGGACAAACGGTTCGGCTGTTGCGCGGGATCCGGTGGATCCACACAGCGGTCGGTTGTGAGTAGAACCTGTCGATTTTGAATTCTCGTTGCTGCTCCAAATACAAGAGCAGCAACAGCGGCAGCAGCAGCAGTGTGCGTGATTCGTTGGCCGGTCTCGTGTGGAAAAATTGTCAAATAAATTATGTCTAGGCCAGCAGAGATCGCATGTCGAGCTGGGATGGCAGCGACAATGAACGTACGGACGGCCATTCACTCCCTCTGCCCTCTGACCGTCCGACTGAGTGTGAAAATCGCTGAAAGAAGCAGATCCGCCTTCGTCCTCGGGATAGTCGCTTTGAGTGGAAGTATCTTGCTTGTAGAACTGAAAATGACAGGAAAATGCAAGGAAGAACTAGTTCACAACAATCAATGTGTTGAGGACGGTTTTCCCCATTCCTAGAAAAAGTTTGTTTTAATGAGTGGCCACCAAAGTTGGAAGTCGTTCTTGACATTTCGAATATTACCGTAGGAGACCAAAACATGATCTTTAAACGGTGTTCTACTGAATAACTGCATTTTGCGTGGTCAAACTGAAGTGTCCTCGGCTCAGAAAGTTGAGAAGTGATTGTTGTAGACACTCGATGTTTGTTTTTTTCAATTGTCCTGCTTAATTTCGGCAGCTAGATGTCAACGAATTAAAACCTTTCCGTCCGAAAAACGAGTTTACCAATTGTCTATGCTTATTTTGCCATTCCTCCATGCATACATAGGCCCCGCCCATAAAATCCCTATTAACACCGTTCCCGTAAGACAGGAACCTTTGGCTGGTCGTGTGTGTGTTTGGGGTTTTTCACCAGATCGTTACCGTGTCCGCAAGTCTGCCATGCACATCACCTTTTAAAATCGGGCGGATGTTCCTTGGTAAGAAACCCCAAATGATATATTTTTTCACGAGAATTCAGTCTTCATATGTTGATAAGGTGATACCTACAAAGACAAGGGAGACCGGAATGGCGATTTCTGGCTTATTAGCCGTCATCAGCCAGTCATACCCAACCCCAAGTGTGGATCACTTGAGATTCGAACCCGGGATCTTTGGTCATGGAGTTTGACGCTCTACCATTGAGCCACCGGTCCGTCGTCCTGTCGGTTGTGATCGGGAATATCAATTATGACAGATGGGCGCTCACGGATCAGGTTACAGAACATGCTCGTTCTGTCATAATTGATATTCCCGATCACAACCGACAGGACAACGGACCCGTGGCTCAATGGTAGAGCGTCAAACTCCATGACCAAAGATCCCGGGTTCGAATCTCTAGTGATCCACACTTGGGGTTGGGTATGACTGGCTGATGACGGCTAATAAGCCAGAAATGGCCATTCCGGTCTCCCTTGTATTTGTCGGTATCACCTTATCAACATATATCACTAGTCGCCGTGCGACTCCCTGTGAGGGTTTAAGTATGAGCCCCAAGGCACAACAGAACGAGCATGTTCTGCAACCTGATCGGTGAGCGTCCATCTGTCATAATTCAGTCTTCATTTCCGAATTCCCTCAAGTAGACTTCGAAAACGAAAATATGTCCACGCCCTACTTTCTGGAGAACCAAGTAAGTTTTAATCAGAAAAACAGAAAAAATCCCGTTGCACTAGTTTCCTTATCTCTGTGAAGAAACTGAACAGATACAGAAGCCATAGCAGTTCGAAAAAATTGTGTTGGAATCCGACGCATCATATCTGTCAAAAAATAAAACGTAAATTTTCACACTGGAAAGACCACGCGCTGAGCCAGCGTTATGACAATATCGAGTCAAGTTACCAAATAATAGTCCTTATGATGGCGATCTTTCTCGTTTGAACAAAAACTGGCTTAAGATGTAAGAGCAAGAATCTTCGTTATCCCAAATAGTGATCTCCATTGCCTAATTCTGGACTGAGAGCAGCATAATTTTTTTTGTAAAAGTGATGACTAATATTTCGGCGTTTAGGCTGTAGGGCTTTCCAGATAAAAAAAACGCGAAAATAATGGATTGTCTTGAGCGAGACGCTTAACATCTAAAACACTTGCTTGGCTTTCAGTGGAAAAGCCTGTTCGGAAGACAGCAATTACTCGATGAATGCGCCTAATTTAAAGCAGGACCAGTGGTATCTGGGTCTCCAGAATACCGTTTTGATGAATTTTTACTCTACATTTCTGCCTATGGGGCAGTTCGACGATCGCGAAATGAAGCCCGACGACCAAGTAAAATGACAGTTTTGTACGAGACTCTGGAACCACTGAACTTTCTCCCACCAAAGACCACACCACTGTGAGGCACAGGAGTCCAGTTGTCGTCTGTTTCTCCATAAGCGACTGTCAAGAAAATCCTTCGAGCAACCTTCAAGTTCGGAGTTTCCGAAGTATTCAAACGATCAGAGGATGTATACAAGCCGTGCACGCTTGTCGTTTTTAGAACTACATTAGATGGGTGTTGCAATTTAATTCGCGATATTTTTGAAAGTGGCGACTTTTCAATCTCCCATGGACTTGAACAGACAAATTTTAAGAATGGAAGAAAACCACCGTGAATGCAAAGAAGTCAATGGTCTAACAAGTCTAACGTTTCTAGCATGTGGGCGTTTAGCGTTCAAATTCGTGACCATGACACTGAACTTTAGGAAATTAAACAGTTAATGGTCTGAATGTCCGCTTGGATTAATTGCTCCAGGGAAACTCCGCTGCACACAATTGCACCTAGGGCTTGTATATGCCTTTATCAAGGACATTGGGTTACCTAAGCCTTAATGGGTCCTAACTCAACGCACTTTTCGATTCTATGCGTCATCCAAACCTACTAATGTCTATCAAAACCGATGAAGATGATTGCCTGTGATGGTCAAATGAGAAAACCCCGGGACTTTAGCTATAGTACCTGAATCACGGTCGCCTTCTAAATTATCTGTAATTCACGTTGGATTTTCAAAGTAAATTCAAAGAATCCTAAGAAATTTCTAGTTTTTTGCATTTTCATTATAGGCCATTTGGTAGTTGTTGACTTTCAACTTGGGGGCCATATCTTTCTTACTTAAACAGGACTCATGCATTTGTGATAGAAGGTAATTTCGCCCAATCAGGCAAGAGTAGGTTGTCAGGGCTATGCCTGCTTGTGCGATGCAGCTTATTTCGGAGACAAACGTATCCATATTTTCACCTTGATATCTCAAATGCAAATCTCCTATTGGAGTCTACAGGACGCGTTCGATGAATTCTGTGGAAGGGACAGCTCTCTTCCCTTAAGTCTTACCTTTACTCACAAGTGTCATCCTGCAATAGTCTGTATGGTCAATAATAGTGAAGAGAGGGATATACATTTTTGCACATGAACTATGTTTCATGCGCTTCCAGCTCTGTGGTCAGGTTTATGAAGCCGCAGTCGGTCATTGCAAAATGTCTCCGAGCGACAATTATAGCGGGATCTATATAGAGGAAGTAGACGGATTCCGGGCGAAGGGTGTTATGCGCATCACGTTGCCTGCCACGTTCTTGATATCCTTGCCAAATGGGAGGCGGAATGAGGGCTCTGACGATACACATTCATCTGGCGGCAGCCAACGGGATAAGGTCTCAGCTCCATTATGGGTTTTCAGGCCGCAACAATGAGTCTAGGCGAAGCTGCATTATCAAAAGTAGAAGTAATGTCCATATGGAAAGTAAATAAAGATTACGTCTTTATCATGACTCACAGTATGCCCCTAGTGCACTAATCGCTTAGGTCCTTCGGCATCTACCGCTTATTCATCCTAATCCGAACGTACTTGACCACCTCATCTGCACCGTCATTAAGGAATTTGACTGTGTTCACAAAATTTCACACCGATGTGGCTGTAATAACATACTGCCGAGTGCACGTACTCAGAAGCCTGTATTGAAACATTAGTTGACTCATCGTGGAAAGCGCAGGTTTGTGCGCAGTCACTCTAATATTGTGTTATATAGTTGCTACTTATTTCCGTTAGGTAGCTTGACATTATTTAATGAGCCTGTTTACCCTTTGCTGCGGGCACCTCTCCTGTTTATAGCACACCGGTTTTTCTGCCGTCCACTTATCCGAAGTAACTATACGGCCAACAGGCTTTTTATATATAATATAGCACGTAGGGACATGTAGACACCTTCTTCCAGTCAGGTGAGTGTCTTTGCTTAAAAATGTCTAACTTCTAATAACGAAGTGATGATTAAAACAGGAGATTCCAGGCAGATTAAGGGTTGGATAGTTTTATTTCCCAACGGGGATGTGCGGGGGAAAGACTATTTACTATTAGTGGGCCGCCGACGACAAAGTCAGACGTTATCCCACCACAGCCTACTAAAATAAATATGCGCGAAAAACTTTATTAGCAGGTGCTATTGTTGGATTTGTACAAGTTACCTGACCTGATTGTGAAGAACGCAGCAGCCTCGGTGGGCTTCGAACCCATGAGAGCAAGTGCAAGGCTTGTGTACAGTCAGCTTCCAACCATCTTAACTGCGAGGCTCCAATCGGGAGCCACAGTGAGCTTAATCACATTTGGGTCGAGCTACTCTCCCAGCCTACTGCAACGTATGCAATTTACCAATTCGGATACAGTTAACGGACTACCAAAGCAGGAATTCCTAAACAATCGAAATAGAGTTCACCCGATGACGGACTGTTGTTTCTGTTGCTGGATTCTGTGCCTGCGATCGCCAGTGTTTTCTTGAGTTGCGCGTGACTTGGCACCAGGGTGGCGAGATATCGAGGCTAATCGAATCCGCATCCCTCGCTGATTGGCTGCGCAGGTGGATAAAGCCCAGGCGCACACGCGTGCTTTGCAACGGAGTTAACAACCTCAGCGTGTGCCACTCGCCTGAGGAAGACAGTAGCTTTCCATGCCTGTTGAGCCGCATGTGCGCTGTCTGGCCTCAGCAAA